TTATTCATTCGATTGTTAAAGTGCTCTGGTGGTACATTGGGTGAAGACTTGCCCTGCCAACCCCAAGGTTGGCAGTTCAAACCCACCAGCCGTTCCGCAGGAGAAAGATGCTGCTGCTGCCATCTTTTGGGAAGAGTTACTGTCCTTGAAAACTCGAAGGAACAGTTCTCCGCTGCCCCACGGGGTTGCTATGAGTCAGAGTTGACTCTGGCAGTGGGTTTAGTTTTTGTTTGGGTGTTCAGTTGTTGGTGGACATTGGTTTTTGGGGTGTGTGTGTGCGTGTGTTTCATTCCTACAAGCAAAGCTGCTAACAACATTGATGGACGCGGTCCCTATAAATGATGGTGGCAGTGCCGTCGGTTGGGGTCTGACTCATAGCTGTCCTCTGTCCAACAGGACCAAAGCTCAAGGACGGTCTTGCTCCGTCCTTCGAAGTGCTGCTGGGTTTGATCCCAATGTGGCAACCATTTATCTCAACCACCTGGCGGAGGGGCTTCCTCTTTTTGCACGGCCTTTCTGCTTTCAGGAGCATGATGCCCTTTTCTAGGGACTGCCTGCTCCTAAAACATGTCCAAAGTACATGAGATGCGGTCTCACCAGCTTTCCTTCTTAGGGGCATTCTGCCCGTATCGCTTCCGAGATAGACTTGTTTGTTCTGCTGGCAAACAAGCAAGCCATACTTTCCACATTCCTCACCACGATTATAATTCATATGCATCACTACTCCTGGCCATTGTCCTTAGCCCTTGTCCAGCTCTCACATGCCTGCGAGGCGTGGATTGAGGGGTTTCTGTGTTTGATTTTGTTATCGTTGGTTTTTTTTTTTAAGTAGGATTTTCTATATATGAAATCCAGGTAAATTTCTAGAGGCAGTAATTAGATTTATAGTTGCTTAAAGAGGTTGAAGAGAAATGGGAGTTTATAAAAATTAAAACAAAAATGAAGAAACCTCTAAAATCAATTGTGATGATTGCACAACTGTATTTAATATATTTAAACCATTGCATTTTATAGTACATGAATTATATCTCAATAAAACTTTTTTAAAAATCCCCTTGAAAGAAAATGCTATCAATGGCTTGGGTCAAAAGCACTGTGCTCAAAGTGACATCGTTGCCCTTCAACTCCTGATACCACAGGCTCAAGGAGAAAGAAATGTTTTGAAAATGGTGATGGCAATATATGTCCAAATGAGCTTGACACGATGGATGTGTGGATTGTGGTAAGAGCCGTACGAGCCCCCAATACAATGATTAAAAAACAAAAGGTGTCTTGTGCAGAAAATGTGCCCAATACGATATATCCTTTCATTCCTTGACTGTTAGGTTCCATGAGAATTGATTATGGATCCAAGCAAAATAAAATCCATGACAACTTCAATTTTTTTTCTCCTTGTATAATCATGTCTCCTGGTCTGGTTGGGAGGACCCTTGTTTTCTCTGTGTTGAATTGTAATTCTTACTGAAAACTGCAACCCTGAACTTCATTGACAAGTGCTTCAAGTCCTCTTCCCTTTCAGCAGGCGGGGTGGTGTTTATCTGCATATCACAAGTTGTCAGTAAGCCTTCTCCATCCTAATACTGAGCCCTTTCTCATACCACCCAGCCTCTTGGATTATTTGTTTAGCATGCCAATTGAGTGAATATTGTGCAAGGATACAACTCTGATGCACACTTTTCTTGATTTTAAACCACACAATATTCCCTTGTTCTGTTCAAAGAACTCCCTTTTTGGTTCATGTACAAATTCATTTGACCAGATGTGTGGATCTACTGTTGCATTTTCTACTCCCTTGATTTATATTTATCATGATGCCAAAACTACAGTTTTGATTGCTGGACCTTCGTGACTTTTTAAGTGAAGTACTGCATATACATATATAAGCTGACCCGAATATAAGCTGAGAGACCTAATTTTACCATAAAAACTACATTAAAATGTGCTGAAAAACTCAGCTTATACGTGCGAATATACGGTAACTTAATACTTCAGATTTATTTTTCATTTTTAAGACTGCTTTAACTATCTTAAGTCTTTTTGAATTCCTATATTAATTCTAGTATAGTCATATTAATTTGTACCCAAAAAGCCTACTTGACTTTGATTGAGAATATATTGAATCTATAGATCAATTTAGAAAGAATTGACGTCTAAACAGTATTGAATCTTTGAATCCATGAATAAGGTATATCTCGCCATTGAATTAGGTCTTCTTTAATATTTGTCAAAAATATCATTTTCAGTGTATAGATCTTGCACTTCTGTTATCATATTTGCCCTAGATATTTCATAATATTTTTTGAAATATATAAATCATGTATTTTTAAATTTCTAATTTTTCCTTGCTAGTATATGGAAATACAATTGACCTTATGGACTGTGACCATGCTAATCTAACCTGTAGAAGCAGACATTCTTGTTATCTCCTCCCACCGCGACACCCATCCCCTTTCATGCCTTCCCCCAATGCAGGCATTGGGTTTCCTCACCTGTGAACTCCGGGACTTTACGGGGGTTACCACCCCCCTTGTGATGCATGTAACTGCTGAATATGCATGTCTTATGATGGTTACCTATAAATATCCTGAGACAGTAAAGATTCTCTCTGCGCAGACCTGGCTGCTGAGATCATGGCTGTCCCGGAGGTGAGCATGTTGCCATGAAGTGTCTGACTCCTTTATCTTTCTGTCCTATCCCTCCTATTCTTTATGACTTTACTGTAATCTTTATATATATATATATATATATCTATGATAGCCATACAATTGTGCCTATGGACCCTTCCATTGTTAGAGGCTGGTTTACTCTGGCACCAAGTTAATAGAAACTGCTCAGGGTTGCCCCCTTCAAGCGGCACCCAGGGCAGGTACCAGGCCTGCCATTCCTTAGATACAGCTCTGCTCTTAACTACCTGCCCACCCACTTGCTATGATAGGAAGTAAAACCACTCACCACCTGCCCGCCACGTCTCCGTGGCCCTAATGTTCTTTGGCATCGGTCTAGAGAACCATCAGGTTCAGAGTGGTTCCAGCATCATCCCTCTGTGCTTCATGCCCTTGTTCACTTGTTTTCCCTCACCCGTGAGTCTGTAATGAGTTCTTCATGCCTGCAGGGTGCTGTGTGCACATCCCAGGGGAGAGGGTGGGGATGAGGCACCAGCTGAAATGACTAACTGCCAAGAGCAAATCAAGTGCCAAGATGCCAGGGTGAGGAGCGCGGGGACAGCGCACGGGAAGGGGTGCTTTTAAAACACGGACTCATGAGTTTGGATGTGGAACAGTGTTTTCTGGGCGCTGGTCACAGCATAACCCTCCCCAGACCTTTTTTTTTTTAACCTTCTCTTAAAGTCATAGTATTGGCAGGGTAGGCTTGGGGTCCAACCACCATCGTTCCCAGACTCCTGGCCAGGTGACCGAGGGTCTGAGGTCAGGAAGAAGAGAATTCGCACATAAGGAGCCCCTGCTGTGTGCCAGTGTGAGATTTGCCATGCGGACTGTGTTCCTTTTGATCGTTTCACCACCCGGAGGAGTATTTAGGACTGAGATGAGGAAACAGCTTGAGGAGGTCAGTCATTTGGCTGATGTCCTAAGTCTCCAAAACTGCCTAGCCAGGCGGCTCTGGTGTCTTGTCTCTGCTGTCTTCCCACTTCTGAGTCCACACCACGCTGCTGTGAAGTGGGGTGGTGGGGGCAGAGGGGTGTAGGAAGAGGCTGGTACAAATGAGAGCTGAGACCCATGTTAGAGGATGGTGACTAGCACTCACCCCACTGCCCCAGTCCACTCTTTGATGGATTTCAGCAGAATTCTAAGTACACTGGATGAGAGCTTGCGATTTTCAAAACCTTTTTTTTAACACTAGGGGAAAAAACCCCAAAATTTTAAAAAACACGTTTGGACTTGTCCGAAAGAGGGCAAATGAATGATAGTTCTTCCAGATGAACTTGAGGTCAGAACCCTGGGTAAGGATCATTCTAGATTTTTCTAGGTCAGTTCGTTGTTAGTCACATAGGAAGCAACTGTCTCCGTGTCCCTTGTGACCCTCGTTGTGTGTGTCACAAGCACCAGCCCCCCTGGGGCTTGGAGCTCCCTCAGCATGTTCTTACACCTGGAGGTTTTCATAGGCTTGAGCTTCAAACTGTGCCCTAAGTAGTGCCTTTCGATCTGCATCCCCGTGTGACCTTTAGGAACTATGTCAGAGGGGACGTTAGGGCCACCCTTGACTGGACCCAACTTTGCATTTCTCACACGGGGAAACTGAAGAGGAGACAGTCTTAAGTGTCTCCCAGCAAGATTCTCTGATGTGCCATTGGGTCAGGAACCCCGCTCTTACCCAGGGCTCCCCCTCCATACCCACCAGTAAGAGTCCACTTCTGAGAGGAGCCAGTCAGGGTGCAGGGTAGCAACGATGAAACATACAACTTTCCTCTGGTTCCTAAAGGCTTCCTCCTCCCCCACTATCATGATCCCAATTCTACCTTGCAAGGCTGGCTAGACCAGAGGATGTACACTGGTACAGATAGGAACTGGAAACACAGGGAATCCAGGGCGGATGATCCCTTCAGAACCAGTGGTGAGAGTGGTGCTACTTGGAGGGTGTTGCGAAGATGGGTTGGCAGGGGGGAACCGATTACAAGGATCAACATGTGACCTCCTCCCTGGGGGATGGACAACAGAAAAGTGGGTGAAGGGAGACGTTGCACAGTGCAGGATATGACAAAATAATAATTTATAAATTAGCAAGGGTTCATGAGGGAGTGGGGAGCAGGGAGGGAGGGGAAAAAATGAGGAGCTAATACCAGGGGCTTAAGTGGAGAGCACATGTTTTGAGAATGATGAGGGCAAAGAATGTACAAATGTGCTTTACACAATTGATGTATGTATGGATTGTGATTAGAGTTGTATGAGCCCCTAATAAAATGATTTTTAAAAAATTTTAAGAGTCTATTCTGGTCACATGATCACCACCCCCCTGACGCGTGTTTGACTCCGTCTTTCCCGTAGATTCTTCAGAAACCAACCCCAGAACTCAAGCACCAGTTGGCTGCTTTCTCCAAGCGAGTTGCCGGGGCGGTGACCGAACTCATCCAAGCGGCAGAAGCCATGAAAGGTACTTGGGTCTCTCACGTCGCCGGTCCTGGGTTAGCAGCGCCAGCGCCTGTCTGTGCCAGCGCCGGTGCAGTGGGCTGAGAGCAGCAAACGTGTCCCCAGGGACAACCCTGTCTTGGCAAATATGGTGAGAAGAAAGATAGCAAGGTACTGTGTGAAAATTCTCATGGGAACAAAGGAGGATAGGTTTGATGTAAAATGCATGTCACGCAGGAAGCAATTCTTCTCTCCAGTCTCCGTATCGAAGCACTTGCGCCTACACAGCATGGTCAGTTGGGAACGGTTTCCTTCTCTGAAGGACGTCACCATTTATTTTCAGGTGCGTCTTCCCTGACTGCAAGATTTCTTTTCACCCCGTCACCACACTCAAATTTAGAAAATGTGCCTTGTTTGCACACCTCTTCTTGGTTGAAAGGAAGCCATCCGCTCATGGAGAAAAGGTCTTCCTCCCAAACATGCCTGTCTCTGACTTGAAGAGAGTGGCTGCCGGCCGGTGTGCTCTCGGGCAGAGAACTCGGCGAGCTCTGGTCAGCGTAAAGTAGCCTCTTGAGGACACTGGCGTTCGCTCTTGAGCTTTATGTTGGGGGTCAAACTTAGGCTCAGGCTAGCATTGGTCTGTGAGACCTTGACTTTGGAAGCTGTGATAGAAGGCTGCTCCTCTGATTCAGAACCTCTGCTCAGGCAGGTCGTCTCTGTGAGGACTCGAGAGAAGACTCTAGGGTAGTGGTTCTCACCTTCCTCGTGTCGCGACCCTTTCAGACAGTTCCCCTGTGGTGGTGACCCCAACTCTAAAATTACTTTCCTTGCTACTTCACAACTGTACTTTTGCTACTGTTGTGAATCATAATGTCAGTATCTGATCGGCAGGATGTATTTTCATTGTTAACAAATGGAGCATCATGAAAGCGTAGTGATGAATCACACAAACAATATGTCGTTATATATTGTGAAATACTTACTTCTAATGACAAATCAATGACATGGTGTCTTGAAGCATGGTGTAGCCTGGGTAACAGTCGGGTACTCGTATGTGGGCATATCTGCGTGTGGGCGGACCCCCTGGAGACAGAGAGGAGTGGTGTCTCGCTTCCTAAGACCATCGGAAATCTGTGTTTTCTCATGGTCTTAGGCTACCGACCCCTGTGAAAGGGTCGTTTGACCCCCAAAGGGGTCGCGACCCACAGGTTGAGAGCCGCTGCTGTAGGATGACGCCACCAGGTAGTAGGCTCCTGGCGTCGCCCTCCATGCAATGGCAGACACTATTCAGAACTAAGTCAGTGGCCTGAGAGCCGCACCTACCAAGAATGACCCTCTTCTGGACTGATTTCAGGAACCGAGTGGGTGGATCCGGAAGATCCCACGGTCACGGCGGCGACGGAATTACTGGGGGCCGCAGCGTCCATTGAGGCTGCTGCGAAGAAACTGGAGCAGCTGAAACCAAGGGCAAAGCCAAAAGTGAGTACCTTTTCTTCTGGCTCTTGTCTGCTGTCCTTGACCTGGTGGACGCGGTGGATCAGAGCTTGGGGTCCCGCCGCGCTGAGCTTGGCTCCTTCCCCAGAGGTAGGCCAGCACTGGCTTCGAAGCACCACTGAGCTGCAAACCTGCTCTTCCTGCCCAGCATTTTCCTACAGGTGATGGGGAAAGTCAGTGGGTGATTCTCTCCCGTTAACCACCCAGGAAAGCCCCTCCCAGTGTCCAAAGGAAGAGTAGGGATGTGCCATCGTGAGTTGGTTCTACTGTGTAAGGAATGATACTTCCCCGATAGTGCATGCGAAGCTGTCAGCCTCTGATGTCACGGCTGTTGTCACGCTTCGTGCAGAGAATGTGCTGGGCCTCTCCTTTCTTTAAGCTCTGTGGAGGGCAGTATGAACCATGTAAGTGTGTCTGTGCACTACAGGTCTTCCAGTATATGCTGAAGATTGTGCTGGGGGTGGGGCGGGGATTATCTATCATCAAAATATATTTTTAGAACTTGAGATCATGAGTTTACAGTAAGCAAAAGAGTCCTTTAAAGGAAAGAGATTTTTAGATTGGACAGTACGGAGGTCAACTATTGAGTTAGAGGATTGTGGGCTAGTGGGGTTCAGGGGCAAAGCCAATGGTGTAAACCACACTCAGTCACCCCACCCCAATGACTGTCTTTCCGTGAAAACGTGTGACCAGGGCCCTTTTTGCCTGTCTACTCAAGCAAGCCCTCAGTGGTACATAAACCTCACCCACCCCTTCCAAAGACCCAAATGCATTAGAAGATAAAATCCGGCTCTTCCTATATAAAAAAAAAAAATCATAATAATTGAAACTCCTTCAGTTTAAGTTTGCTTAAAATGTCTCATACTTTGTAAGATCAAAGGATGGTGTATGGATTGTTATAAGAGCTATAAGAGCCCCCAATAAAATTTTTAAAAATTTGTTAAAATTAAACAAAATTTTTAAAAAGGATGGATACTAAATCCTGAAAAGTACCAAGTCATCCCAAAGTAATTCTCTGACCAGTGTTGTACATAAAATAGACATGCGTCCAACAAGTCTGATAAACTTGGGGACGTGCTTAACACCGTGGAATTCTTCAAAGTTGTTCTAACCTCGATAACGGCATTTAGAAAATTAATTTCCTCACCAAGGTACAACTCACAGGTTTTGGCTTTGATTCGGGGGCTCACCAAGGTTCTCTTGGCTGGCTTCTAACCTGAGGGTCGGGGTTGCTGAGATTGTACTATTTTTCTGTCAAGCTGCAGAGCAAAGTGTGGGTGGGGATGGGGGCTCTTCCCCTAGTTAAGGCTTTGTCTCCGCCTTATCAATCCAATCAATCGTGAGTGAAGCTGTACTTAGAATTTTCGGAGGACCACTGACTACCATGTAGAGGTGCGGTTTTTCCTCCTCCTCCCGTGCTCTATCAGAAGTGGCCTCTCTGGGAGAGATTCTGTCTGCCGGTGCCTAGGCCGGGCCAGTGACACTGCCCTGCTCGGGAGAATTGGCCCGATGCTAACGTAACACCAATGCTGTGTCGGTTTCTAAGACTCCCTGCTCTTTCCCTCTGTCCTTCCGCAGGGTCCTTCCGAGCTCTTGTGTGTGTCCCCACCCCGTCACTTATTTATCTCATGTCCCTGAGCAGGAGAACCAAGCTGTTAGAGCTCTTACCCCATCCATAGGATGGCTACAGGATTAAATGAGTTAACACTAGAACATGTCATGACTCTGAAATGACACTCCATGAGACTCGATGAGACTCAGTCAGTGCTAACGCCACCCCCGCCAGGGTTGTAGTCCACTTTACGAGTCAAAGCTACAGGGGACCATGACTCTCCAGGCCCCTGAGCTGATGGTCTTCACAGCAATACAAAATGAAAAGAAGAGAAACGTAGCGCACATCGATTGAGCACCAGGTGTGTGCGGGTCGGCCTCTGGGTGGTGCAGCAAGTCCGCGAGGCGGCCACTGCTGTCACCCTGGTGAGTCAGAGGCTCCGAGTGATGAATGACCTCCCCAAGGGCCACCCACCATGGCTGAGGGGACGGGGAGGGCACTGGGCAGCAGTTAGGGTCTGATAGCAGTCCCCCGGCACCCACCTCTGGGAATCTGCCCCGTGAAGAAAGTTCTAGGAGAGGGCTATGTGTGGTGGTGAGCATGGACACTGGGTGCTTGTCCCCTGGGAGGTGCACTGGGCAGTTATCTCAGACGATGCTCAGAGGACGTTGTTGCAGGAAGAAGATGCCCGTGCTGCCCTCTAAACTCAACATGAAGCTCCAGCGGCAGGACTGTGTCTTTGTGAGGCTTTACAACTTAATTCGGAAACCAAAACGCAAAACCACTGGTGTGTGAAGAGGAAGACAGATGGGGGAGGCAGGCGAATCCTGCAGGAGTGGGGGTGGCGGGGCTGGTCTGTGTCTAAATGACATACACCAAGTGTTTGCAAAAAGTCAGCATTTAAAATATTGGGGAGGCTGCTGGGGTGGCCTGGCGAGCACTTCCTACCATCCTCCTAGGACACCTGGCCTTTGCACGTAATGTCCTTGGAGAGCCTGGTTGTCGCCTCGAAGGAATGCATTATTTATCATTAATAATGGCCGAGGGGACTATGGTGCAGGAAGAAGATCCGTGGGCTGTCATGTAACGTCCTCCAGTAAAGGTCAATGTTAGCACAAGTCGTGGCTCTGAGTCCTCTCACCTGGGCCTGCCAACTTGGGGCTGATCTCACCCTCGTATCAGCAAGGGTGAGCGTTGCTACCAGCAGCTCCCACCCCCGGGAGCGAATTATCTGTAAAACTAAAAGAACCAGGGACCTGAACCATGGTGTTTGTGCCTGACTGGGAGTGCTAGCCACATTGCAAGACTAACTGTGAAATAAAATACCTGTGCCTGAATAAAGGAAGTTGTTGCCCCCAGTGTAAATAAGTAAGATCCCAATCTGACCGCATAATCAACCAGATTGTTGAGGTTGGTTGTATCCACTCACCTTCTCCTGCAAAAAGTGAAGCAATCCGAAGATACTTTGAACAGTCACCATCACATCCTTACCCCTAAAAACCCTCCTCACTGCTTCTCGCTCTCCTTTCTCTCCCTGCCCACCACCCCGCCCCGCTGTCTCACACACAGTATAGTGACTGGTCCTTCCTTCTCCAGTGGGGGCATTTACCCTGTTTGGGGAGTAAGAGAGGCAGTGGTGCTGTTTACATCCTCTGCCCCTGCTCTCTCGGGTGGCCCATTTTCAAAGGGGAGCGGTCATCCTGCTTGGCTCTGGCAGCACATGTGCTCGAAGTGGAGTGGCCCGGGCTGTCGTGAGACGATGTGGCTAGCACAGTCCCCTCTCTGGCCCTTACCATTTAAGCATACCTTTCTGCCCCACATCTCTTAGAGGTGAATTAACAAAAAATAATAATAATAATTTGCTGTGGAATCCACCTTTTGCTTGGGAAGACGGTGTGATGCCAAAGTGAGAGTCTCGGTGAGCCGTGCTGCGTGTCCCTCGATCTTGCTAACCGCGCCGTTCCCATGCTTGCTGTCAGGCCTGAGCCTGCAAAGATAGGTACAGGAGCCCTAGCCTCCGTACTGTGCCTGTTCTCGAGCGCAATCGCACCTGGATGCCTTTTCTGCAGGCCTCTGTGTGATATGTTTGATATATTAGGTTGTTATTTAATCCAACTATATATCAAACATATTCCTACAGTGTCTTGCCCTGTCTCCGGGGGGCAGCAGGGAAGAATACGATAAAATCACAAGGAGCTTTAGAAGGTGGCATGCTCACTACTTTCATCCTGTCAGACAGTCCTCTTCCCCTTGTAGCTTTCGGGACCTGCATCGGATGGCTAGGTCCCTTGTTTATTGTCAAGGCAAATCGTGCTTGTTGGTGTTGCATCAGGGCATGGGTGTCATGTACAACTCAGTTTTGTGCAGTAATGGATCCTTAAGGAGTGGGAGGTGGAGAGTGGGATTAATGGAGGATGTCGAGTTCAGTCCACATTATGCGCCACGGGCTAAAAGCCAGGAAGACCGCCTGTGAGCACATTCACATTGCTACCTCTGTCTCCGTGGGGTCCACTGGGACTGATGCTCAATGTAGAGCTTACTCATTTTCCTCATCAAGGTTTCAGGTCAAAGAAAACACATACCTGTCAACTCCCCGTGGCCTCCTCTCCCTCCGCTGCTAATGCCAGCACGTGGACCAAGTGGGCCACAACAGCTGTGTGGATGGGCGGTCCCTGGGCTTTCTAACGCCTTGGTCAGGCCTTCGCATAACAATAAAGATCCCTGTCTGTCGAATTTCCTGGTGGGGGTTAACTTGTCAGCCGAAGTTGATAATGTTTAGAATAAGCCGAATAGAAAAGGGAATAAATCCACAGCCCAATAGACTGCAACAGGAAGATTAGGGTCAGGAAACAGAACTTCTTCCTTCCCCGGATACAGAACAGTCTTCCTTGGTTGGTTTGGACGCTTCCCTTCCGTGTGCGCTCTGCCCAGGCCCTCTGCGCAGGCAGCCCCGTGAGCACTGCTCTGGGGGAAACAGCTGCTTGGCTCCTGGTTCGGGAGTTTTAGAGGAGAGACGCTGGGCCCCAGAGAGCAGGAGTGGATGACCTTTTTCTGCCCCGGCTGTTTGGGTATTTAGTTCATTATTCAAGGGCCTTACTAAATCACCACCTTAAACATCAGCCTGCTATGTTTAGTCAGCCATTTAATTCAGTCAGCCCTAACGGGATGGCTGGGACCATAGCTGGTCTGATGATTCCACGGCTCCATACAGCCCTGGAGGGCCCCTGAGTCAGCCTCCACTTGGTGGTTACTTGTCCAGGCATGGCTAACTGTCACCAACTCTTGAGTGCCCGTTGAGGGATCCAGGCAAAGTAGACACCTAACCCACTTGTGACTGTTTGTCCCCTAGGACTCCGGAGTGGACCATTATTAATATGGATGCTCACTCGGTGTAATTTCCCTCCTCCTACCATGTAAACTGCCCTCTGGCTGAACTCTGGGGCTTTGGAACCTCATTTTTTAATACTTTTGCCTTCAGTCAACAAACATGTGTCGCAAGGGCGCCTCTCGCCCTGATTTTGTGCTAATGGAACAGAAACTGAATAAAACATAACCTAAGCCCTGGAGGAGATCGCAATGGCAGGATTAAGTAAACTGATTTTTTTTTTCTATGTCCAGGCCAGCATTCTCCACAGAACAATTCAGAACCAGGTGTCTGGGTAGTGCAAACAGTTAAGCACTGGACTTCCTGCTAAATAGGGAGAAAGGCCTGGCAGCTGCTGCTGACAGATCCCAGACTTGACAGCCCTGTGGGGCAGCTCCGCTCTGCACACATGGAGTCAACTCTGGCAACTAGTGACAATGAAGCCCATAGCCACGGTCAGTAGAAACCCTTCCAAGTCTGGCCTAGTGCAGCTCTGAGCCTGCTGGAGAGATCCTGCCCCTTCACCAGATCGTCACAGTCAACTAGCCTGTTCCAATTAGAGCATTTCCTTAAATTGGTTACCTTGGCTTGGAAAGGAAAGTCACACGCTTAAGATTAGGCATAATTTTTCAATAGAATTTTGATAATTCTAAGAGCTCTTTATAAGAAGAACTTGCTGAGTTCTCCCTCAATGCAAGAATACTTTCTTCTATTAAATTGGCATTCT